CTGCTTGCGGATTAAAACTGTTAAATCCATTTAACCACCCATTTTGTTCATGGCCCAATCCATGACATCGTCAACAATGTCAGCATCATTTTGAACAGCAGTTTGGTTTTTCTGACTACTCATAGTCAGGTCAGTATGGAGCAAGAGAATCCTGAAGATTTTTCAAGAGATACTAAACATACAGAGGGCAATGATAATGCAAAAATGGTACAATGTGTCACCAAACATATTTATTGAGATTTTTCAAAGCACCACTGAGTGTATTTATGTATTCCACTTGCCTGAGCAAGGAACTATTGCGGTTAACGTAATTTCAAGGATTTTGCAATGTTCCTTTGAGATGATAGAACTTCATGTTTGGATTGCAAATTGCCCTGCCTTCTTAAATGAAAGAACTATACTACCATTACTGAAATAAGAAACCACCTAATCAGACGTCACGAACAGAATTCGAACTTGTGCACTGAAACCTCAATGGATATCGAGTCCAACGCCTTAACCTCTCGGCCACCGTGACAATACACTCATAATGTCGAAGGGAACACTCAGGTACTTGGATGAGTTTCCAGCTGCTTGCGGATTAAAACTGTTAAATCCATTTAACCACCCATTTTGTTCATGGCCCCATCCATGACATCGTCAACAATGTCAGCGTCATTTTGAACAGCAGTTTGGTTTTTCTGACTACTCATAGTCAGGTCAGTATAGAGCAAGAGAATCCTGAAGATTTTTCAAGAGATACTAAACATACAGAGGGCAATGATATTGAAAAATGATGGTGCGATGTGTCACTAAACATAATTTATTTTGATTTTTCAAAGCACCACTGAGTGTATTTATGTATTCCACTTGCCTGAGCAAGGAACTATTGCGGTTAACGTAATTCCAAGGATTTTGCAATGTTCCTTTGAGATGATAGAACTTCATGTTTGGATTGCAAATTGTCCTGCCTTCTTAAATGAAAGAACTATACTACCATTACTGAAATAAGAAACCACCTAATCAGACGTTACGAACAGGATACAAACCTGTGCAGGGAAACCCCAATGGGATTCGAGTCCAACGCCTTAACCTCTAGGCCACCGTGACAATACACACAATTTTGAAGGGAACACTCAGGTACTTGGATAAGTATCCAGCTGCTTGCGGATTAAAACTGTTAAATCCATTTAACCACCCATTTTGTTCATGGCCCCATCCATGACATCGTCAACAATGTCAGTGTCATTTTGAACAGCAGTTTGGTTTTTCTGACTACTCATAGTCAGGTCAGTATAGAGCAAGAGAATCGTGAAGATTTTTCAAGAGATACTAAACATACAGAGGGCAAGGATATTGAAAAATGATGGTGCGATGTGTCACTAAACATAATTAAATAGATTTTTCAAAGCACCGTTGAGTGTATACATGTATTCCACTTGCGTAAGCAAGCGACTGTTACGGTTAACGTGATTTCAAGGATTCTGCAGTGTTCCTTTGAGATGATAGAACTTCATATTCGGATTGCAAATTGTCTTGCCTTCTTAACAGAAAGAACTATACTACCATTACTGAAATAAGAAACCACCTATTCAGACGTCACGAACAGGACTCGAACCTGTGCAGGGAAACCCCATTGGATTTCGAGTCCAACGCCTTAGCCTCTCGGCCACCGTGACAATACACTCACAAATTTGAAGGGACAACTCAGGTACTTGGATTAGTTTCCAGATGCTTGCGGATTAAAACTGTTAAATCCATTCAACCACCCATTTTGTTCATGGCCCCGTCCATGACATCGTCAACAATGTCAGTGTCATTTTGAACAGCAGTTTGGTTTTTCTGACTACTTATAGTCAGGTCAGTACGGAACAAGAGAATCCTGAAGATTTTTCAAGATATACTAAACATACAGAGGGCAATGATATTGAAAAATGATGGTGCGATGTTTCACTAAACATAATTTATTTTGATTTTTCAAAGCGCTTTTGAGTGTATACATGTATTCCACTTGCCTGAGCAAGGAACTATTGCGGTTAACGTAATTTCAAGGATTTTGCAATGTTCCTTTGAGATGATAGAACTTCATGTTTGGATTGCAAATTGACTTGCCTTCTTAACAGAAAGAACTATACTACCATTACTGAAATAAGAAACTAACTAATCAGACGTCACAAAAAGGATTCAAACCTGTGCAGGGAAACCCCATTGGATTTCGAGTCCAACGCCTTAACCTCTCGGCCACCGTGACAATACATTCACAAATTTGAAGGGACAACTCAGGTACTTGGATTAGTTTCCAGCTGCTTGCGGATTAAAACTGTTGAATCCATTCAACCACCCATTTTGTTCATGGCCCCGTCCATGATATCGTCAACAATGTCAGCGTCATTTTGAACAGCAGTTTGGTTTTTCTGACTACTTATAGTCAGGTCAGTATGGAGCAAGAGAATCCTGAAGATTTTTCAAGATATACTAAACATACAGAGGGCAATGATATTGAAAAATGATGGTGCGATGTGTCACTAAACATAATTTATTTTGATTTTTCAAAGCACGGTTGAGTGTATACATGTATTCCACTTGCGCAAGCAAGCGACTGTTACGGTTAACGTGATTTCAAGGATTCTGCAGTGTTCCTTTCAGATGATAGAACTTCAAGTTTGGATTGCAAATTGTCTTGCCTGCTTAACAGAAAGAACTATACTACTATTACTGAAATAAGAAACCACCTATTCAGACGTCACGAACAGGACTCGAACCTGTGCAGGGAAACCCCATTGGATTTCGAGTCCAACGCCTTAACCTCTCAGCCACGGTGACAATACACTCAAAATTTTGAAGGGAACACTCAGGTACTTGGATGAGTTTCCAGCTGCTTGCGGATAAAAACTGTTAAATCCATTTAACCACCCATTTTGTTCATGGCCCAATCCATGACATCGTCAACAATGTCAGCATCATTTTGAACAGCAGTTTGGTTTTTCTGACTACTCATAGTCAGGTCAGTATGGAGCAAGAGAATCCTGAAGATTTTTCAAGAGATACTAAACATACAGAGGGCAATGATAATGCAAAAATGGTACAATGTGTCACCAAACATATTTATTGAGATTTTTCAAAGCACCACTGAGTGTATTTATGTATTCCACTTGCCTGAGCAAGGAACTATTGCGGTTAACGTAATTTCAAGGATTTTGCAATGTTCCTTTGAGATGATAGAACTTCATGTTTGGATTGCAAATTGCCCTGCCTTCTTAAATGAAAGAACTATACTACCATTACTGAAATAAGAAACCACCTAATCAGACGTCACGAACAGGATTCGAACCTGTGCACTGAAACCTCAATGGATATCGAGTCCAACGCCTTAACCTCTCGGCCACCGTGACAATACACTCATAATGTTGAAGGGAACACTCAGGTACTTGGATGAGTTTCCAGCTGCTTGCGGATTAAAACTGTTAAATCCATTTAACCACCCATTTTGTTCATGGCCCCATCCATGACATCGTCAACAATGTCAGCGTCATTTTGAACAGCAGTTTGGTTTTTCTGACTACTCATAGTCAGGTCAGTATAGAGCAAGAGAATCCTGAAGATTTTTCAAGAGATACTAAACATACAGAGGGCAATGATATTGAAAAATGATGGTGCGATGTGTCACTAAAAATAATTTATTTTGATTTTTCAAAGCACCACTGAGTGTATTTATGTATTCCACTTGCCTGAGCAAGGAACTATTGCGGTTAACGTAATTCCAAGGATTTTGCAATGTTCCTTTGAGATGATAGAACTTCATGTTTGGATTGCAAATTGTCCTGCCTTCTTAAATGAAAGAACTATACTACCATTACTGAAATAAGAAACCACCTAATCAGACGTTACGAACAGGATACAAACCTGTGCAGGGAAACCCCAATGGGATTCGAGTCCAACGCCTTAACCTCTAGGCCACCGTGACAATACACACAATTTTGAAGGGAACACTCAGGTACTTGGATAAGTATCCAGCTGCTTGCGGATTAAAACTGTTAAATCCATTTAACCACCCATTTTGTTCATGGCCCCATCCATGACATCGTCAACAATGTCAGTGTCATTTTGAACAGCAGTTTGGTTTTTCTGACTACTCATAGTCAGGTCAGTATAGAGCAAGAGAATCGTGAAGATTTTTCAAGAGATACTAAACATACAGAGGGCAAGGATATTGAAAAATGATGGTGCGATGTGTCACTAAACATAATTAAATAGATTTTTCAAAGCACCGTTGAGTGTATACATGTATTCCACTTGCGTAAGCAAGCGACTGTTACGGTTAACGTGATTTCAAGGATTCTGCAGTGTTCCTTTGAGATGATAGAACTTCATATTCGGATTGCAAATTGTCTTGCCTGCTTAACAGAAAGAACTATACTACTATTACTGAAATAAGAAACCACCTATTCAGAAGTCAAGAACAGGACACAAAACCTGTGCAGGGAAACCCCATTGGATTTCGAGTCCAACGCCTTAACCTCTCAGCCACGGTGACAATACACTCAAAATTTTGAAGGGAACACTCAGGTACTTGGATGAGTTTCCAGCTGCTTGCGGATAAAAACTGTTAAATCCATTTAACCACCCATTTTGTTCATGGCCCAATCCATGACATCGTCAACAATGTCAGCATCATTTTGAACAGCAGTTTGGTTTTTCTGACTACTCATAGTCAGGTCAGTATGGAGCAAGAGAATCCTGAAGATTTTTCAAGAGATACTAAACATACAGAGGGCAATGATAATGCAAAAATGGTACAATGTGTCACCAAACATATTTATTGAGATTTTTCAAAGCACCACTGAGTGTATTTATGTATTCCACTTGCCTGAGCAAGGAACTATTGCGGTTAACGTAATTTCAAGGATTTTGCAATGTTCCTTTGAGATGATAGAACTTCATGTTTGGATTGCAAATTGCCCTGCCTTCTTAAATGAAAGAACTATACTACCATTACTGAAATAAGAAACCACCTAATCAGACGTCACGAACAGGATTCGAACCTGTGCACTGAAACCTCAATGGATATCGAGTCCAACGCCTTAACCTCTCGGCCACCGTGACAATACACTCATAATGTTGAAGGGAACACTCAGGTACTTGGATGAGTTTCCAGCTGCTTGCGGATTAAAACTGTTAAATCCATTTAACCACCCATTTTGTTCATGGCCCCATCCATGACATCGTCAACAATGTCAGCGTCATTTTGAACAGCAGTTTGGTTTTTCTGACTACTCATAGTCAGGTCAGTATAGAGCAAGAGAATCCTGAAGATTTTTCAAGAGATACTAAACATACAGAGGGCAATGATATTGAAAAATGATGGTGCGATGTGTCACTAAAAATAATTTATTTTGATTTTTCAAAGCACCACTGAGTGTATTTATGTATTCCACTTGCCTGAGCAAGGAACTATTGCGGTTAACGTAATTCCAAGGATTTTGCAATGTTCCTTTGAGATGATAGAACTTCATGTTTGGATTGCAAATTGTCCTGCCTTCTTAAATGAAAGAACTATACTACCATTACTGAAATAAGAAACCACCTAATCAGACGTTACGAACAGGATACAAACCTGTGCAGGGAAACCCCAATGGGATTCGAGTCCAACGCCTTAACCTCTAGGCCACCGTGACAATACACACAATTTTGAAGGGAACACTCAGGTACTTGGATAAGTATCCAGCTGCTTGCGGATTAAAACTGTTAAATCCATTTAACCACCCATTTTGTTCATGGCCCCATCCATGACATCGTCAACAATGTCAGTGTCATTTTGAACAGCAGTTTGGTTTTTCTGACTACTCATAGTCAGGTCAGTATAGAGCAAGAGAATCGTGAAGATTTTTCAAGAGATACTAAACATACAGAGGGCAAGGATATTGAAAAATGATGGTGCGATGTGTCACTAAACATAATTAAATAGATTTTTCAAAGCACCGTTGAGTGTATACATGTATTCCACTTGCGTAAGCAAGCGACTGTTACGGTTAACGTGATTTCAAGGATTCTGCAGTGTTCCTTTGAGATTGATAGAACTTCATATTCGGATTGCAAATTGTCTTGCCTTCTTAACAGAAAGAACTATACTACCATTACTGAAATAAGAAACCAACTAATCAGACATCACGAACAGGATTCGAACCTGTGCAGGGAAACCCCATTGGATTTCGAGTCCAACGCCTTAACCTCTCGGCCACCGTGACAATACACTCACAAATTTGAAGGGACAACTCAGGTACTTGGATTAGTTTCCAGATGCTTGCGGATTAAAACTGTTAAATCCATTCAACCACCCATTTTGTTCATGGCCCCATCCATGACATCGTCAACAATGTCAGTGTCATTTTGAACAGCAGTTTGGTTTTTCTGACTATTATAGTCAGGTCAGTACGGAGCAAGAGAATCCTGAAGATTTTTCAAGAGATACTAAACATACAGAGGGCAATGATATTGAAAAATGATGGTGCGATGTTTCACTAAACATAATTTATTTTGATTTTTCAAAGCGCTTTTGAGTGTATACATGTATTCCACTTGCCTGAGCAAGGAACTATTGCGGTTAACGTAATTTCAAGGATTTTGCAATGTTCCTTTGAGATGATAGAACTTCATGTTTGGATTGCAAATTGTCCTGCCTTCTTAAATGAAAGAACTATACTACCATTACTGAAATAAGAAACCACCTAATCAGACGTTACGAACAGGATACAAACCTGTGCAGGGAAACCCCAATGGGATTCGAGTCCAACGCCTTAACCTCTAGGCCACCGTGACAATACACACAATTTTGAAGGGAACACTCAGGTACTTGGATAAGTATCCAGCTGCTTGCGGATTAAAACTGTTAAATCCATTTAACCACCCATTTTGTTCATGGCCCCATCCATGACATCGTCAACAATGTCAGTGTCATTTTGAACAGCAGTTTGGTTTTTCTGACTACTCATAGTCAGGTCAGTATAGAGCAAGAGAATCGTGAAGATTTTTCAAGAGATACTAAACATACAGAGGGCAAGGATATTGAAAAATGATGGTGCGATGTGTCACTAAACATAATTAAATAGATTTTTCAAAGCACCGTTGAGTGTATACATGTATTCCACTTGCGTAAGCAAGCGACTGTTACGGTTAACGTGATTTCAAGGATTCTGCAGTGTTCCTTTGAGATTGATAGAACTTCATATTCGGATTGCAAATTGTCTTGCCTTCTTAACAGAAAGAACTATACTACCATTACTGAAATAAGAAACCAACTAATCAGACATCACGAACAGGATTCGAACCTGTGCAGGGAAACCCCATTGGATTTCGAGTCCAACGCCTTAACCTCTCGGCCACCGTGACAATACACTCACAAATTTGAAGGGACAACTCAGGTACTTGGATTAGTTTCCAGATGCTTGCGGATTAAAACTGTTAAATCCATTCAACCACCCATTTTGTTCATGGCCCCGTCCATGACATCGTCAACAATGTCAGTGTCATTTTGAACAGCAGTTTGGTTTTTCTGACTATTATAGTCAGGTCAGTACGGAGCAAGAGAATCCTGAAGATTTTTCAAGATATACTAAACATACAGAGGGCAATGATATTGAAAAATGATGGTGCGATGTTTCACTAAACATAATTTATTTTGATTTTTCAAAGCGCTTTTGAGTGTATACATGTATTCCACTTGCCTGAGCAAGGAACTATTGCGGTTAACGTAATTTCAAGGATTTTGCAATGTTCCTTTGAGATGATAGAACTTCATGTTTGGATTGCAAATTGACTTGCCTTCTTAACAGAAAGAACTATACTACCATTACTGAAATAAGAAACTAACTAATCAGACGTCACAAAAAGGATTCAAACCTGTGCAGGGAAACCCCATTGGATTTCGAGTCCAACGCCTTAACCTCTCGGCCACCGTGACAATACATTCACAAATTTGAAGGGACAACTCAGCTACTTGGATTAGTTTCCAGCTGCTTGCGGATTAAAACTGTTGAATCCATTCAACCACCCATTTTGTTCATGGCCCCGTCCATGATATCGTCAACAATGTCAGCGTCATTTTGAACAGCAGTTTGGTTTTTCTGACTACTTATAGTCAGGTCAGTATGGAGCAAGAGAATCCTGAAGATTTTTCAAGATATACTAAACATACAGAGGGCAATGATATTGAAAAATGATGGTGCGATGTGTCACTAAACATAATTTATTTTGATTTTTCAAAGCACGGTTGAGTGTATACATGTATTCCACTTGCGCAAGCAAGCGACTGTTACGGTTAACGTGATTTCAAGGATTCTGCAGTGTTCCTTTGAGATGATAGAACTTCATATTCGGATTGCTAATTGTCTTGCCTTCTTAACAGAAAGAACTATACTACTATTACTGAAATAAGAAACCACCTATTCAGACGTCACAAACAGGACTCGAACCTGTGCAGGGAAACCCCATTGGATTTCGAGTCCAACGCCTTAACCTCTCGGCCACCGTGACAATAAACTCACAAATTTGAAGGGACAACTCAGGTACTTGGATGAGTTTCCAGCTGCTTGCGGATTAACACTGTTAAATCCATTTAACCACCCATTTTGTTCATGGCCCTTCCATGACATCGTCAACAATGTCAGCATCATTTTGAACAGCAGTTTGGTTTTTCTGACTACTCATAGTCAGGTCAGTATGGAGCAAGAGAATCCTGAAGATTTTTCAAGAGATACTAAACATACAGAGGGCAATGATAATGCAAAAATGGTACAATGTGTCACCAAACATATTTATTGAGATTTTTCAAAGCACCACTGAGTGTATTTATGTATTCCACTTGCCTGAGCAAGGAACTATTGCAGTTAACGTAATGTCAAGGATTTTGCAATGTTCCTTTGAGATGATAAAACTTCATGTTTGGATTGCAAATTGTCCTGCCTTCTTAACAGAAAGAACTATACTACCATTACTGAAATAAGAAACCAACTAATCAGACATCACGAACAGGATTCGAACCTGTGCAGGGAAACCCCATTGGATTTCGAGTCCAACGCCTTAACCTCTCTTCCACCGTGACAATACGCTCACAATTTTGAAGGGACAACTCAGGTACTTGGATTAGTTTCCAGCTGCATTCGGATTAAAACTGTTAAATCCAATAAACCACCCATTTTGTTTATGGCCCTGTCCATGACATCGTCAACAATGTCAGCGTCATTTTGAACAGCAGTTTGGTTTTTCTGACTACTTATAGTCAGGTCAGTATGGAGCAAGAGAATCCTGAAGATTTTTCAAGAGATACTAAACATACAGAGGGCAATGATAATGAAAAATGACGGTACAATGTGTCACCAAACATATTTATTGAGATTTTTCAAAGCACCACTGAGTGTATTTATGTATTCCACTTGCCTGAGCAAGGAACTATTGCGGTTAACGTAATTTCAAGGATTTTGCAATGTTCCTTTGAGATGATAGAACTTCATGTTTGGATTGCAAATTGCCCTGCCTTCTTAAATGAAAGAACTATACAACCATTACTGAAATAAGAAACCACCTAATCAGAAGTCACGAACAGGATTCAAACCTGTGCAGGGAAACCCCAATGGATTTCGAGTCCAACGCCTTAACCTCTCGGCCACCGTGACAATACACTCATAATGTTGAAGGGAACACTCAGGTACTTGGATGAGTTTCCAGCTGCTTGCGGATTAAAACTGTTAAATCCATTTAACCACCCATTTTGTTCATGGCCCCATCCATGACATTGTCAACAATGTCAGCGTCATTTTGAACAGCAGTTTGGTTTTTCTGACTACTCATAGTCAGGTCAGTATAGAGCAAGAGAATCCTGAAGATTTTTCAAGAGATACTAAACATACAGAGGGCAATGATATTGAAAAATGATGGTGCGATGTGTCACTAAACATAATTTATTTAGATTTTTCAAAGCGCTGTTGAGTGTATACATGTATTCCACTTGCGTAAGCAAGCGACTGTTACGGTTAACGTGATTTCAAGGATTCTGCAGTGTTCCTTTGAGATGATAGAACTTCATGTTTGGATTGCAAATTGTCTTGCGT